CTTTTAAGTATTTGGAAATTTTCAAACATGTTGCATTGAAAGCACAATCTGAATTCTATACCATACAATTACTAAGAGACCATAAGAAGATTTTAGAATCATTGGTTATGAATGTCATAAGAAATATGAAACCCAGCATTAAGAAAAAAACACTTAACAACTGTCTCCACTCCCAGTAATGCCTGCTGTTGTTGGGGAGGGGGACCGGCTGTCTCCACTCCTTGCACCGTACACTGCCGCTGGGGAGAGAAACCAATTGTCTCCTCTTCCTGTAACAAGCACTGCCACTGGGGATGGGAAACCAACTTTCTCCACTCCCGGTTGCTCCACCTGCTGCTGGGAAGCGAGACGGGTTGTCTCGTGTCCCTGTAACAAGCCCTGCCGCTGGGTAAGGAGACTGACTGTCTCGACTCCCAGCAACTCCTGCTGCCACTCGAGACAGAGACCAGTTGGAAGGTGTAAGACACACAATGGGGAAAAATAGGGGATAAGATACACCAATGGGGATATGAAACAAAAGGCGGGTTAAGAGGCACACAGGTGAAGATGCTTTTTTTTGTGTGGTGGTGGGGTGCCAAAATCATCTGTATCGATTTTATTTAAAATTGTGAGCTGGCTTGGCGGCAAGTCCTGTGGGTTGACTTGGGGGTGAGCCCCTGGGGCCCTGGCATTGAGCTGTGTAAGGGGCCCCACTGTTTCTGACAGCTGCCCTGATGAAGGAAATTGAAACAGATTGAAAAAAATTAATTATGGGTCAAGACAAATTACACTTTATTCAATATAAATAAAATAATAAAGAAGAACAGAAAATGCAGAAGCCGATCCCAAACATTGTTGATTGTAACGATGAATATAGAGCTGTTAGAAATATTTTAACTATGCATTGGTATGTACTTGTGATCAGACTATAAAAGACTATGCTATATAATGATAAATTGAATAATGAAATTACATCTCGTGGAGGAACATGGTATCCCTTCTGACAGGTCTAATTTTAGATTTATGGACATACGATTAGTACGTTCTTATGGGTGGTAATTTTACAGATATTGATAATCAATCAGAGAATCAAAGAGAGAAAAATCAGAACATGGTGAAACACCCTAAGACAGTTTAATATACACCGACAAACTTCACACAGGTGCAATCTCCGATTAACATTGTATAACTACATTCTGGATCATTTAAAAAAAAAAAAAAAAAGGATTCCATTACGTATTATATCACTGTATTCATCTTTGGCAAAAGACAGCCTTGAATGGGTTATGCTTTGACGACAAAACCAAATAATTCACATTAATCTGCCGTAAACAAAAGTCTGATTTAGCCAAACTAGCTTCATACGGAAGTAAAGATTCTTACCGTAAATAATAAATAACAGGGACAAAAATAAAGTCTTGCACATTTAAATTTTGAAACAATTTCATTTGAACAGAAACAACCATTATTATCCGATCTAATAATGTTCGGCTTTATTTTATCCCTGTACTCACAGAGGGGACACATGCTAATATTGTTTTTGGCTACACCTTTTCTATGCCCTGCAGTCTATTCTGTGCTGATGTTCTTCGCTTGCGTGGTTTAATTTTCTGCTGTTGGTTTCAGTTTGCTACGTATTGTTTATTTCACATGCAGTATAAAAAAAAATCAAAAAGTGACACTAGGACCAAATGACAATGTTTCAAAGGCTGACTTACTGAAAAAAATGACAATTTGTGAGCTCCACTCATTGAGCTGGGTACTTTGGACTTATTAAAACATTCTATTATTTCACCTTTTTAAAATGCACTATATCAGTGAACCCTATTTGATTTTTTTAGTCACCCTCAAATAACATTATTTTATAGTCATTATTTCCCAACTGATCTCTAACTTCAATCTTTGAAAGAATAAAGTCCTCATTATCAGTTAGTGCCCGATCCAGACATGCATCCGTTTCAGCTTGTGCTGCTGCTAAATGAGACATGAGTAATTTTACATGTTCAAAAAGCGCGTCCCTTCAGCTTAACAGTTCCTCTCTTCCAGTCAATGATTAAATATAAACTGTTGTTGTAAATTCATATGTACTGACAAGTCATGTCTCTAATCCCACCATAATTTAGCAACACATTCTAAAACCTTCAGATAAACTAGTTTATTATATTTTCAAACCTCTAGCTTCTGCTTTTTGTTAATGCTCATTGCATTAACCGCAGACAGTCTGTAAATAGGATTTTATGACTGCTGAACCATACCATCCCCACCGTTGCCCCCGCAATAACACACGTGGCACATTCATGTAGTGGATAGGGGCAATGGCCGCAGCTTTTTTTAACATAACCATTTAACCTTTTGTTCCACAAGCTTCAACAGCCAGCTACTTGCCATCAGCCCCCATGTAGGCTGTCATCTCTCCAAAGTGACTGCACGTATGGCTCTCTTTTCGAGCTGTGCTGTCCAGGAAACACACCAAGCTGTGACAACACAAAACAAACAACACGACACAAAGCAACACAACACCAGAACTAGGGAAGGAGGGTGGGAAAACAATCATGGGCAGCAGTCATGGTCCCCCTGCCCTAGCTGTCCAGCTGGAACCTTTTCTTCTTTTATCATATAGTTCCTCATTTTCTACTTCTGCAAATTGAACAAAGCAAACAATAAATAACACAAAAGGAAGGCTGAATATACTGTACAAAAACACTCTTCCCCTTGATAACGACATCTGTATCCCAGCTACGTACCGGATCCCCTACTGGTTGTTGCCCCAGTGATCAAGCTTCAATAAACATATATGTAATGCCTGAAAATTTTCCATAATGACATTTCCTATTTATTATCTTTTGTCTAATATTTGCTAAATTGTTATCCATTAACCACAACGCAGTGTTTGTTCGATAACTGCTATAGCTGCTATAATTGATGCGCAATCTTTATCTTGTCTACATTTTGTACGATGGAAATAACAGCGCACCAGAGCATTCACCAAGTTTATCGGCTCCGATAGATCTGAGCACAATCTGATCAATACTGACCGACCTCCTACCCATCCGCTGACAATTAGGTCGGACACACACATCTAGGACATACAGCCGATATAGCAGATGCCTTTCTTTCTTTCCCTGGGCAAGAAATACTGCTGCAAAGGCCTTAAGGCCTACCATGTGGGCAGACGACCCCAGGATCTAACTGAAAGATTGCCAGTGTGGCATACTGCTACAACACTTACCCCACACAGTGACCCCTATTTCCCTGATGAGGTGGTACGAAAGTCTCAAAAAAATCCTGCCATCGGAAACTGTGCCCCTAGATTAACTCCATTTCAACAGACTCCTGGTATCCTCACTCCTACCCACAAAAAAGCCAAATACTTCTCATTTGATGGGGTATACCTTATTGTATGTCTTTATAAATAAGACGGCCAATGACAGATATAGAAAACAATGAAAATCACAGTTGCAGCAACCAGCTTAAAAATCTTGGTAATGATATTCAACCTGATAAACACATACACGCATTGGTGTGCTATATTAAAAAAAAAACACCACCCTTAATAGGTTTACAATAATAGGTTTATAATAAATGGTATGTATGTAAACAAATACCTCAAAAGGTAATAGTAGCAAACGTATCGCTAGACACACGTGTTGCCACCCTAGGTGAACTCCAGGTGTATTTATTATAACCACAATTAGTGATGTTGTGATCTATTTAACGCTCAGTGTAACACATATGTATATACTTGCAAATATGTAAACACTCCAAATCAGGTATCTAAGGAGACAAAAAATAGAAACAACTACTAGTGCAATAGAGTCCTATAAAATAATAAAACCAATGTAAAACTCTGTAAGTATCCAACTCACAGGATGAGAGTGTTTGATGCACCACTCAAAGCTAACTCGCCCAGGGAGGATCAGCCCCATACAGTATGTGGGATCCAATGGATGTACTGCCGAACAGGATTGCAGGTAAGTAAAATATTATTTATTCCATAAAAAGTAAAAACAAAGAAACTAAGTAGTAAGTTCACACTTCGCTCACCAGCCCTTAGAAACACAGAAGTCTCTATTCAGGCTTTTATCTCTGTAGCCTCCATCACTCCTGTCTCTGTCTCTGGCTGGTCACACCACTGTCTGTAAGTCCTAACACTTCCTTGTACCTGACACGTTTCACTTCTCCCTTTGTACCTGGCACGTTTCACTCCTCCCTTTGGGGCTTTGCCAAACGTGCCATACATCCTCCCACTTTCTTTCGCTTATATGTAAGCCTCCCCATGCCTCATGCCGGCATCCAATCAGCATGCACTAATCAAGTCCATGTGAGTGCCAGCTAGTCTTAGAGATTCTTTCAAGAACAAGTCCTCATATGGGGAATAGTACACTAATTAACTGGCAAAACAGTGAATGTCATTCAAAAAAAAGAAATCCACCCCCCCCCCCCCAAAAAAAACCCGATAAGCATTAATCAGAAAATTGGCATATTCTAAAACAGCTTTTAAAGTGACTCAGAATCACGTGAGTGTAACCAACTATATATGGTTATTATACACAGTGCAAACAATATTACCCTATGTTTTTTCTCTCCCTTTTTATGTTTCAGCCATTTACCTTATGAAGTATTGGTAATATAATTTATTGCATGTACAGTGTGCTCTCACTATTCTACTATTTTTTTGCACCTTGATTTTGTGTGGTTGAGTGATTCACACTTAAGTGATAGTAGCACCGCTTATTACTGTTTTTCCCATACCTTTTATACTATATTCTAAAACAAATAGGATTCTGTAACTCCCAAACCCTCTAAACTGAACATATGTTCCTTTCCATATCTTGGTACAAGGGGGTAATATTACACCAAGTATATTTGACCAAACTGCCACGAGCTCCAAACTCGGCGTCATGTGACCTTATTCTATGATGCAAAACACTATCTGACAAGAAGGCCTTCATGGCAGAAATTAAGGGACAGACTGCTTACGAGTTTGAAACGTGCCAAATCGCCTACTTTCAGGACTAGAGTAGAGCCACATTACTTTGGTGCAAGTGTATGCAGCATATCACCAACCTCCTCCAGACTGAAGCTTTTAACTAGCAATAGTCAACCCCCAGGTTGTTGTGGGTTACCAAAGAAGATAAACCATACAAGATCTCTGGCCCCAGTGGAGGACCTGCCTTGCTCACAACACTGGGACACTCTAACAGTATCATTGCCAGATTGGGCCTACCACATTCCCAGTCCAGGGACAACAAAGGCTCACATTTTTCAGCACCAGGAGATGAGAGAGACCTGAAATCTTGAGACCAGCAACACTAACGCAACTTTATATTTTATATTTTACCATTTATGCTTCTGTTTAGTTTATGCATGTTTATTCCTCAATTCCATGACACTAGGGCATATTTCTCCTGTGTATGTCTGGCACAAGTTCTGCTGGTGTCGGGATTTATGCATTAATTCGATTATATATTCCACCACCCCCTCCCCCCACCCATTGCCCCATGGTTTCGGGTTACTAACTAAATTGAAGCTCCCACATTGAGCACTTCAAAAGTAGAGGTTACCTAAAATATACTAAAAATATACTTTGTTTCGTATTACAAATGAACCTACCTTTGAGTTTAATTTGCAGCAGTAATTTCAGTAAATCAATATATGTATTATACACTGAGCACTGACTATGATCCTGCTGCTGGGAGTCATAAACTCCGCTTGCGATAAGTGCATCTGATAATGACACAAGGTGGTTCATATACTAAAGCTGGAATTATTAACAAAATTACACATTCTAGGACATAATAGTTTGTCAGTTATCTCCAATCAAAGTTTAGTAAATAACCTAAATCATTTGAGCCATGTATGTTATTGTCTATTCATAAACAATGTGAATTTATGGCACGTTGGTGTATTTTAATCAAAATGCACCCGATTAAACATGAGGTAAAGTTAGGATACCATTGTTGTTACACTTGCAGTATCCCATGATTAAAATAAAGCCCAAATTATATATATATATATATATATAGAATGGTGAGGCTGCACTTTCAGTCTTTAAAAAAAATTTAATTGCATAAATAAAGATTAGATTTTTTAAAAGAGTGCAGCCTCACCATTTACCATTTTATCTATTGGAGCCTTGGCTTTGGCACCCAGCAATACAGGGGATTTTTAGCTTGTGTGCAAGGAATTTATGTGGGGGCAAGCGGGGTTCTTTTTTGCCGGAGTAATCACCATAAAATAGGAAGCTCGGTTATTGATCCAGATAGCCCTTTGTTAATAATTAATGACATGTACATATCATTCATTGATTGATATCTATTCCCAGTGGTGAGAAAAGGAAGATTGAGTTTGGCTAATTTTTGCCAGGGGCTTATCTGACAAAAGTCAGGTGTCATGCTGGGGTACACAGCATTAATGTAGGAAGCAGGGGACTTTACTATAACTTCAATATAGCAAGCATCTTTTAAATAGAGCTTCGAAGGGGAGCTGGCACTTCTTTCGAAATTACACCATTGCCAAAAGTTATGAATAAATAAAAGTATATTTTGTGTTAATCGTTTTATTCTTGTGATGGTCATTTTACACTTATTCCAAAGATTTATGAAATGTTATCCCGATCTAATTCATACCAGGCACAGGACTGGTTTTGCAAATGAGGAGGAGAAATGGAACAATTGTTTAATGTGTCCCCTGTTCTTTGTCTGCTTTCTCTATGCTGACTGCCTGGTGCAAAGGGCATAGGATCTAACAACGATTGACAGGGAGCAGGGATGGAGGTTAAAGAAATATAGTTTTTTAGTTTGAAGTTTTTGTTATTTTCACAACTCAAATACATGTAGGTTAAATATACAGGATAACTAAAGAGAATAAAATCTAGGACCACCAGAGATCAAGGATGGCAGCAAGGATCCCCCCTCCCAGGCAAAAGGTAAGAAGGAAGGGAGGCTATTTCCTAATCTGCCCCCTCACCCCCCACACACAAACACAATTCCTCCAAACAAATTTACACACAGCACACACAAAAGCACGCATACACAGCACCCTCACACACACAGCACCCTTACATACACAATCACAGCACCCTCACACAGCACCCTTACACACACACAACACCCTCACAGAGCACACAGCACACTAACAGCACCCTCACACACAGCACCCTTACACACACATACAGCACACTCACACAGCACCCTCACACACACACAGCAGTGTATGTGTGTGTGTGTGTGTGTGTGTGTGTGTATATAATTATAATTATATATACACACATACATATACACGCTGCGCACGCCTATGGTGTCTGTATGTGAGTATGCTCACTGTATAATTAAACGTTTTACTCTGAAAGGTCCAATATTTTATATTAGAAAAAGCAATATATATTTGATATATTTATATATTACTCAATCATCTGGGGTGACATAGATTTACATATTACATGCGACAATATATGGCGCAATGACTTATAGGGCTGGCATAGATTTTTTTTCCCAGGGCTGTTTTGTATCCCCAGTCCGTCCCTGCTCCCAGATACAACTGTGCTCTCTTTACCCAACTTTTTGTCTTTAACTATAGCATCCACGCACAGTTTAGACAATAATCCCCACTACAAAATTTTTGTATCAAATTGCAACATATCCCAGACAAGTGTTGGTAAATACCTGGCTGGGGCTCTCAGATACTACTGGACAATCTGTACCCGACTTATTGTCTTAAAACTACAGCTACCACGCACAGTTTAGACAATAGTCCCCACACGTATGAGGGGTACTTTATGCAAGTCTCAGACAAGTGTTTATTTTATTCTATTTGATTTATTTACTTTTAGTTTTAAACACTAGTGTTTTGGGGTTGACTTTCACCAGTTTTTATATGTTAGAAATGTATCATTAAAAGTTAAGTTTTAATATTCCCGTATTAAGGTTGCACGTTGCAAGTTCTCTACTGTACCCTTACTGCTTCCTGCATCTAGTAGGGTATTCCACTCCATAGGATACTCTACCAATATCATTTCTCTCCTGTTCCCCTCACAATGTTGTATATATATTTATTTATTTATTTTTTTACTCTGATACAGACTTTCCCTAACAAATGCTTCACTGAATGTATTCAATGCAAATGTGACAGTTCTTTTTTATTATATCTCATACTTGCATATGGTTTCATAATATTCACCCTAACTGAATTTATTTTTCCTAGACTCTATCTCCAAACAATTATCTCACTAATGCACAGATGCTGCCTTCATAATCAAGTTCACCACCACTAACCACAGAGATCAGTTGAAAACATAAAGAACAGGGGGGCGGAGCCAGCACCCATGCGAGACGGTCACAACTCCTGTGGGCTCTGGACTCCTGTCTAGGTCTGTGGCTAAAACAGCAACTCAGAGGGTTGTTACATAACTCCTTCATACCCTCAGAGCACTAGCAGACTATGAGGCGCCGTTCTGGGGACTTTACTGCGGCTGCCACAACAACCTTCACTTTCCAAGATGGCGCTGACCACGGCCTACTTCACAGCATTATCTGAGGCAGAGAGTGAACAAGAGGAAGATTTCCCTGCTGCCGGGCAAGCTCTACGGCCAGGTGCCCCCCAGTCTCTTGAGTTGGAGGACAATGCTCCTTCAACTAAGGCTGACAGCAAAGCCCTCTTGTTGGATATTAAAGCTATGCTTCAAGCTGATATGGCTGTGGTGTGGGATGAGGTAGCCACCCTGACAGGCCGCATCCAGAAGAAGACTTGGGGGGCAAGCAGGTGGCACAATCAGCTACTGATGCAGCTCTTAACACTCTACAGAAGACATGTAGTGATATGGGCCTATGGCTCGCGAGACTTGAAGACAGGGCTTAAGCCTGCAATGCGTCCCAGAGTCAGTCTCCCCAGAAGAACTGCCCCACTATACACTGTGATTACTGTCTACACTAATATCACCTAAACAGGCCGAGCATGCTTCTACTGACCGCTGCTTCCGACTGCAGAAGGGTATGTCCTCCTTCAATTCCAAAGAGACTGACAAGTCTGCAGTACTGGAGGCTGTGAGAGCATCCCCTTCCCTAACATTTGAAGGCTCCCAGCTTTCCATTTTAAGAGACCTCTCCAGGTCGACAATGTAGTGGAGGCAATCCCTCCACACCACCAACTCCTAAGAGAAGCAAAGATTCCCTATAGATGGGGCCCACACCGCTTGGTGACAGAAAAGAATGGCAAATTTCCACTCATGCAACTTCGTGATGCCAGGGCTTTCCTCCAGGCCTTGGGAGTCCCAGTTGAAGCTTTTCAGACACAGGGCAGAAGGGCCTGGGTAGTCGACGCAATCTCCCCATTTGTTCAAAAAAGGGTCTCGGCGGGGACAGATGCTCCAACTTTAAACCGTCTGAACTTTCATCTGGTTTACTCTGATAAGACCAAACAGCTACGGATTTTTACGTTTTAATGTTTACTTTACTGTATACATTCCTCTGGCTCCGTAAGATGCTCTAACTTGCCTTTGACCTACTTTATGCCCCCCCATACCTCCCCTTAAGTGCCACAGTTCAAGTTTATGCCCTAGTTTATTGAGACAGCCCATGGCATGCAGAATACACAGCATGGGTCCTCACAAAAAAAGTCTGCAGGCAAATAACCAAGTAAGACCGGCTTAGTTTATGGTTTTCTATAAAGTTTTTCATTTAAAAACAAAAAAATCTCAGATCATGTTTCTTCATCTGACTTTTCAAATGCCTAAGCCGCACTTACCAGTTCAGGTTCAGTTTACATGTCATTTGTTTTACTGTGGGCCTATTCAAGGCTATACGGTGCTCTCATATTGCTGTACCACGTGATGTGAGCAAAAAAAAAAAGATAAAGAATAGAAGCCTTTTAGAGGAAACCGATATCATACGTACTGCTTGAGTAATTTGCATATAACGCCAAAGCCACTTTCACTTTTCGCTATTGCACATTAATCAGACTGGACACATAAAGAGTGTCAGGTACCTAACTATATATACTTGATAAAAAAAAAAAGAAGAATTAAACGTGGGAGTGTTCTTTTTATATACTATTGTCAGCTTGAGATAGGATCACTTTTTTTTTTTCCCAGTAGTTTTTTTACTAGGTATTTAACATTATAATAAAATAAAAATAACAAGAATTAAAACCAACAATAACAAAAAGTATTTAGGAGTCAAATACGAAGCCGTGGTCAAACACAAGAAATCACAAGGGAATCACTAGGAGCACTAAACGAGGATCTGACAGAAACGAATGGGGGCAGCAACAAGCCTTAGAGGGACACTCCATGCACCCAGACCACTTCTGCCCATTGGAGTGGTCTGAGTGCCAACTCCCACTACCCTTAACCCTGTAAGTGTAATTATTGCAGTTTTCATAAACTGCAATAATTACCTTGCAGGGTTAACTCCTCCTCTAGTGGCTGTCTCTACTAGACAGCCACTGGAGGGCACTTCCTGCTTCATAGCACAGGTTTTCTGTGCTAGAGCGTTGCTGGACGTCCTCACGCTGGTCGCTCAATTGCCCATAGGAAAGCATTGAAAAGCATTCCTATGCAGAGCACATGCGCATTAGGTCTCCCCAGCCGGCGGGCGGGATCAGTCTCCCCCGCCGGCTGACGTGATGAAAGGGAGGAGCGGCGGCCACCCTTCAGCAACCGGGGATGGGTGGTGGGAGGGAGAGGGGACCTGCAGTGCTTTTCCTGGCACTGGAGAGTCCCTTTAAATAGGCTTACCTAATTTCTGATAACTCCACGTCATCCCTGCAATCCAAAACAGATTAGGATCGCAATGATGACGTGGTCATTTTAACCCCTTCAGGACGGAGTCAATAGTACACGTTCTGATCAAAACATAATGTAAACAGAAACTGGAATTTGCGCTATATGTCTGTTCAACCGTAATACATCTCTTTCATATTAAGTGCACCCACACTTATTATATATATATTTTTTGTTGTTCAGGAGAGACAGGGCTTTAATTTTGCATGAACTATTCATATAAGAACATAATTTATTATGAATAAAATGAAAAAAAATGTGAGAGATTTTTACAAAAAAATTATAGTTCCGTCTGACATTTTAGCTAGAATAAAATGCACATATTTGTATTAGGCAAAGTTTCACGAGTACAACAGTACCCCTATGTACAGGTTTTACTGTGTTTTGGAAAGTTACAGGGTCAAATATCGCACATTCCATTTTTCTGTTTTTTTTCACATTGAAATTTGTCAGGTTAGTAATGTTACCTTTGAGACCGTGTGATAGCCCAGGAATGAGAATTACCCCTATGATGGCATATCATTTGCAAAAGTAGACTACCCAAGGTATTCAATATGGGGTATGTCCAGTCTTTTTTAGTAGCCACTTAGTCACAAACACTGGCAACCGCAGTGTTTAAACCCCATTATAATGGGAACGGCATAGAACGTCGTAATGGCGTTAAGGGGTTAAGAGTGGGCGTGGCGTCACTTCCACATATATTTTCAAAAAGTTAGATCTAGAGGATGATAGTAATCATTTAGAATGGATAATCCATAGTTATGCAACAGATCCATAGCTAAACCCCTTCTCGGTCTCTCTGCTCTGCCCATAACCTTCTCCTGTCCGCTGCTCGCACCCGTACGGACAACTCACGCTTGCAGGACTTCTCACGGGTGGCTCCCTTCCTATGGAATAACCTGCCTACCACCATCAGACTCTCCCCTAGTCTTCAATCATTTAAAAAAGTGCCTTAAAACCCATCTCTTTAGGAAAGCTTATGGCCTCCCAGAGTAACCTGTACCTTACATACCTGTCTCTTGCTCTCTCCTAAAGGGCAGTACTCTACTCTCTCCCCAGCTCTGCTTCACTCCCACCTTATTTGATTGCTATTCCCTGTCCTATTGTGTTTTATACCCCACCTCCTATAGACTGTACGCTCGTTTGAGCAGGGTCCTCTTCAACCTATCGTTCCTGTAGGTTTTCTTGTAATTGTCCTATTTATAGTTAAATCCCCCCTCTCATAATATTGTAAAGCGCTAATAATAATAATAATAATAATAATAATAATAATAATGGCATTGCTCGTGACAAACTGGAGGATAGCCTAACACTACTAAAAACATTCCATGCCTTGTGGGCGATCTTGGTGGAAGGAAACATGTGTTTAGTCTTAACGCTCTTTACAGAGCTGCCTTTGTCTGAATTATCACCACAAAATTATAGTCCGTAAAGGTTTTAACTGGCACATTTTAGGTTTAACCCCTTAAGGACACGTGACATGTGTGACATGTCATGATTCCCTTTTATTCCAGAAGTTTGGTCCTTAAGGGGTTAAAGGGGGAAGAAAATGTCAGTTACAGGAAATATTTTCCCAACCCACAATATATTTACAGCTGGCTGTACTAGACACAAAATAACGATCTTGTTTTATTTTTTGAATAGTTAAAGTGTTTATAAAGTGACTTCATGATACATTTAGGATTCGGTTCAAAGTTGCCGTTCTTACCTGCATGGGCGTAGGAACCCCAAATAATCTGGGGGGGATAGCATTTTTACTCGCCGGTATATTCTTATTCCGTAAACTATGAGTCGTTTATCCCATTGCACAGCGCTACGGAATTTGCAGTTGCTATATAAATGATTAAATAATAACTTTAAAGGGTCACTACAGGGAAGGGATTTTACTTACCTGGATACAGCGCCGGGAACCTCCTGATGCTGCGCCCCCTATTTCGTCAAAATAACGAAATAGGAGGGTGCGAGCAGGGAGCAATAAAACGCTTTTATTCAGAAGCGTCATTGCTCTCTGGTGCGCATGCGCAGCTTTGCCGCACATGCACAGATACTTCATAGGGCGGCATTCATGTCTCCACTAGGAAGCACCTCTAGTGGCCATCTGAGTGTCCACTGGAGGTATTCCTCATCAGTAATGTAAATACTGCCTTTTAAAGAAATGGCTGTGCTTACATTAAAAAGCCTGCAAAGACATGCTATAGACACCAGAACTACTACGTTTAGCTGTTGTGGTTCTGGTGACTATAGTGTCCCTTGAATATAGAGAGGAAAAAAGAATCATCACAAATGTAAGAAATAAAATGTCTGTATCATTATTCTAAAAATTATTTTAAAAAAAAAAAAAAATATGCACATTCCTAGCTTAATTTTTAGCACGACATATGACACAAACATTTTGTACTTTGCAGATTACTTTTTATATTTTTTTATACATATACAGATTGTGTAATACTGCCCCTGACTTAGGGTGACCACATTTCCTAACTGCCATTCAGTGACACTTTCAGAAATGCATTCCATACATTTTACTACCCGTCTCTACCCCTTCCATTTATATTAGAACCCCTTTCCATGTAAATTAGAGATTAGTGCCACGAATAATATGCTAGATTGCCTACTTACAACCAGATGAGGATGATGATGGGCTCTAGCTGCAGTCTGGCTCCACTGGTCTGGTGTAGAACAGGCTCTCTGGAGGCTGTTTGTAACTGTGGTCACAAAAATCAATGTTCTGGGAGAACGGGAAGCAGCTCCATTTTTTGGGGGCCCTTTACACAGCTCAAGGTCTGGGTCCCAGGGTCCACCTTCATGTTCCACCAATGAGTTTGTTCACAGGGGGT